AGTGCGGCCATGGCATGCTTGGATTTACCCCCAGACCTGGGGCCAGTCTACTGGACCCTAGGCCCCACAGCGGTCCATTCAAAACTGTGGACTTGGCGAAAATGCCTTCTTCTATGAAACCCTTTTGCGTGTGTGGATCAATCACCCCATCAATAGTCTGATGTATTACTTTGGGCGATTACCACTTTGTAGAAATCCATGAAATTTTTGTTTCAGTTTCAACCAGAATGGATGAAACTGTCTTGTATCCAGCTGCCAGCACGTGATTTATGCAGTGAGCATTACTACTTCTCAGTGGGCATTGCCAAATGTTAATACATGGTCAAGTTGCACGTTGTTGAATAGGGAGACTGTCTGAGGTATTCATGAATTTGAGTTAAATGTACATGTACATTTAAGTTGGAACACGTGTGTTTTGAACAGACATTGCAGCTGATGTCAATAATGACTTTTTTCTTGAATATTACCTCAGATGAAAGTTATTACCTCTTAGAGGGACAGAATTACTCCATTGGAAGAAAAGGTAAGGGCTACACCTGCCAAGGAGGCAATGAACCGAATTTGGCATTTGCAGTGCATCATGGGATTGGATGACAGACAAGCAGTTTATCTTATGCAGGACCATGTGGAAGAGGTATACGTGTACGTGTAAAGTGTGAAGTGCTAATCAGTACCACCTTGTAAGTACTGGAAGTCAAGCTGTCCTCTTCTTGTGCAATATAGCACTGCAGATTTGGAATTAAGATAAAATGTTGAAGCTTAAAAAATTGAAGATTGGGGGAATCCCTTCCATAGACACCACTTTCTGTCTTGGACAAGATGATTACTGTCAGTGTACTAGTACTAGCCAATCAGAGCCAAGACTTGAGCTCATTCATCGTGCATTGACTTACTACGTTCATTTCAGCCTGTAGTGACTGGTGCCTTTTTAAAAAAAAGATGAAATTACTAGTGATCTCTTACTTCTTACAAACTTTTGAAATTTGTTAGTTTGAAAATGTTAGCACACTGTGCATCCATCCCGGACTTGATGCGGGGTACATCAGAAATATTCTGCAGAAAATTACAAATTGACTGGTTCACTACATTTATGCATAAACTGCATGGCTTGTTTGTCATCCAGTCCAACAATGCAGTGAGAATGTTGGAAAGCTTTGTAGGGTAGCTCTGACTATTATCCCAGTGATTCACATTTCTATGCCTGTTCAGAAGGCATTGATGTTCTGTTATGCCTGTTTGACGTCTGTGGCAATTCGGAATACAGACTATTTGTCCTGTGTAGGTTCATTTGCAAAGTCAGGCTGGGAAGAAAAGAGTTGGAAGACACTATCCAATTTGATGTGTAATTGAATGCTTCGTTTCCACCAGGTTGGTTTTGCTGTTGCAAAATTTTTGCACCGCTCCCATTTTGCATTTGTAATCCATTTGCCATTCTGATTTTACTTCTGTCAGCATCCAGGTTTCACTTTTAATTCTCCAGCCCAGTGTATTCTGCCTACTCTTGGCTGTGCTACTGTTATTTGATTGGCCTGTAATTGCCATATATACATAGAGCGTGCTAAGAGGGAAGTGCTGGGGCCACTTTGTTTTAAAAATTATTACCAGGGGCCAGTTGGTTTGGAGTTGGTTTGTGTCAAGATGACACACAGCGCTTCCTTTGTTAGAAAAGGGAGGGCTCGGCAGTCCTGTGCGTCCGTGCTACCCCTGGTTGGAAATTCCTTGAATCGATTCAAACTGTTGTCCTCTTTTCCAGATTGTCAGATCCTGATCCTTAATGACAGCTCTGTGAGCCGGAAGCATGCAACACTGACTGTGACACACTCGGATGCCAATCTGGTACGTGACTCAATTGGTTGGCAGTTCTTCCTTTGTCCAAAACTGTACTCATAAACCCCAACTCATTTTTTTTGTAGTGTCTGTCGATGCTGAATGGTTAGTACATGTTGTGTAGTGCTTTGAATCCTGAGTTCTCACAGTTTTGCGGTGAAAGATGACCATGAGTTGTCAGCAATGTTTCAATTCTTCTTTCCTTGTTAGAGCAAACCAGAAGTGAAGCCGGTTCTCACCTTGATTGACTCCTCCAAGTTTGGCTCCCTGAGAAATGGAAGCAAGGTCGCCATTGGAAGCAACACCAACCTCGAAGACGGTGATCGCATTGTCTTTGGAGCCATGAACTCCAATCAGTGGAGGTGAGTTACAAAGAAGAAAGAGCTCTTGTACACGTACCCCTCAGTTCTGTGGCCATTTTGTGTCCTGAACCAACCCTCGAATCCTCCAATAGGAAACCAGTGCGTGAACTTTGTACTTGAACTTACCAGGTCAAACATGGCTACCAGATGGAAAGTGTGTCCCTATCATTATTGTGGCCAGCAGTATGGCTCACAAAATGAATTAACCACTCCCTGCCGGGCGACCCGTTTTCGAGAACATAGGCTTTATATGCAGAGGCCTGGCTGAAATATTCAAAAGTCAATGAAGGTTAACTGTCAGCTTTAGAGTAGTGCCCAAAGAGTCCTTCATGCAGGTATAAACGGCCATTAAATGAAATGGTGAATTTTTGAAGAATTTTGAAAACGGAAAATCTTGAAAATGAGCCGGCATCTTGTCTTGCTCAAGAAAAATCCACCTGGCAGCAAAGTGGTTAAGAGCATTAAAGTCCCAGCTTTGGGTGTTTGAGTGAAAAGCGATTGTGACATACACGTACATGTACCTGTGCACAGTTCTTATGTGCGTAAGCAGAACTCACAGAATTAGACCACTCGTGTATTTAATGAAAAAAGAAACATAAACAGCCTAAGTTTGTTGTTTCCAAGTCTTTGTCGAAATGCAAACAGCACAATACAGTCAGTGTGAGCGCTTGCAGAACACACTGGGTTCACTCTGTTTAAGCTCACATTTTTGTCCAACGACCTGGTTATTATGCCTTTCTTTTCTTGCGCTACATTTTTTTTCTGCACACATGAAGCCAATGTATTGACTAGGAGCCTGCTACCGGTACATGACATAAAAATAGACACCAAGAACCAAACTTTCAAATTCCCTTGGGCTGTCAGAAGTCGACATCGCCTCTTCTTTTTACCCACAACAAAGCTGCAACATTTTGTGCAGCTCCTTCCTGCAGTCCCCTCTGAATTGTTTGTTTGCGAGTCCGTAAATCAGGGGGTTCACTGCGTTGTTAATGAAGTATGTGGTTGGTATGAGCTCCTCCAGGAGAGACTTCAGGTTTTGGTCTTTAGTGTCACGGAACACGGTTAAGCTCACGGCTATGCTTGTCCAAGATGGCAGCCACAGAAGCACAAACACGACACTGGTTATAAAGAGCATTCGTGTTGTCTTCTTGTGCAGTACTGCTCTACTTCTTGACCTCCGAGTAAATCTTGTCGATTGCTGCCCGATTGGTGGGTTGGTTTGGGTCAGATTTGTGTCGAGTGGTCTCACTGCCGAGTTGCCTGCAGAATCTCCAATGGTCTGCCCTCCTGTTAACACCGTTGTCATTAAACGAGGTGGGTCTTTGGGATCCTTAGGGAATAAGGAGCTTGCAGGTGGAGCAAGTTGCTGACCGGCTGCTATCATTGTGGTCACTCCGCTCCGGCCGCTGTTCAGCTTCTTTCTGTCTGTCCCAAAAGTGCCTCCGTCTTGTCTGGAACGGGTGCTGACTTTAACATGTTGTCGAATTCTGAAGTAAACCTTACCGTAGCAAACCACAATCATCAACAGGGCTGTGACAAATCCTGCCACTGCAGTGGTCCATTCCAGTGGGGCAGATATCTCACAGCTAAGAACATTGCACACCATGTTTGAGGCTTCTGAAGCCACCGACAGCACTGCTACGAATGCAGTTGCCATCTTAGCCCTGCGACAGCTGATCCAGCGCTTGTGCGGACGGCACACACAGTCATAACGGTCGAGTGCAATGACGGCTGTGATCCCAACAGACATTCCAGTCCACGTATTGGCCACACTGTGAACAAAAACCCACTTGTCTGGAAGCTGTTTGTCGGCGAGAGTGAAAGTAGTCTCGGTGATGAAGAACGTCTGACTCAGGCACACCACCAAATCAGCAAAGGCCAGCCCCATGATCAGGATGTGGGTACTGGTTTTGTGTCTCTTTACCCAGTATACACGTAGAATCAGACCATTACCCAGGCTTCCCAATGCAAAGATTGCAGAGCAGAGAATGATTTCCGCTACCTGGCATGGATATATGTTTAACCTGCCTACCTGCCCATCAACAGTAGATGATGCATTGTAAGCAAAGCCAGGAGGAGTTGAATTCGCCATAGTTTTTGTCAGTTTCCTCAGTTCGGAAGCAGTGCTGGGTGGTGGGATTGTATGGCAATCCCCTCGAAGTGATCCACGAAGCCAGTGCCACAACTAAACAGAAACACTGTTGCAAAGGATATTTGGTGTCGGCTCTCATTCCAAATCAGACTTTCTTCAGATACGAGAAAATTTGAAATGAATGTTGGACAGTGCATGTTAACTGACTGGTTCACACAAGTTTGATATCACCGTGGCTATCGTTATTCGCAAAGTAATCAACTGACGCACCTGTTGCTCTTGCTACTGTACTTGGGGCTGTTGTAGCATGTAACACATTAGCCTATCAGCAGTCATAAAACTACATAATTATTGCTGATTGTGCTAAAGTCGTGAAATTGAAACACACGTGTGAACCGAAGACCGCCGTCTCACCTGTTAGCTTTCCCCCAGTGCGTACATGTAAATGTCGTTCAATCCAGTGTTCCTTGCCCCTTCTTGCCCTCCACTCATGAATCCTATGAGTCCTTTGACTCATGGAGTCAAATACAATCAGCGGGAACCATTTGAAGCACTCCTGATTTGGAGAGATGAAGCAAGCCCAACAGGATACCATCTGCATCTACAGCAACCTGCTTAGAAAAAGAGGACTCTGTCGCATGTGCTTGGGTGATCCACGACACCGTCTATGTACTTGCTTGTTAATAAGTGGACTAAGTCCTCTGGACTGGATAAATCTTTCCAGTGGGGGTACTGGTAGAGTGAATCAGTTGTGAAGAGACAACATGAACAAGTTACTCTCTGCTTTGGTTGGCACACAACTTGGTTGAGAGCAAGTTTATCTGCATGTAGATTGTAAATGCTACAATTTCTGGTAACTTGTTGCCTTGGGATGTTTTATTTTGCCACTTTGTATTAATCTGCTCCTGTTTGTTTGGGTTTGGGTTATTAATTAATGAATTAATGATAAATAAAGTTGATATTCAAAACATTAAAAAAGTCACATGTAGATTGAGATAGAACTTGGAGCAGATGACAACATATTCCAGGAAGAAGAGTGAGAAGCATTTTTCTCGTGCCAGTCTTTTCAGTTCCGTTCAAAATTGTTTCACTCCACTGCTGTTTTTAAAAACTTCAACCTGTTGTTTTCTCCGTGCAGCTTCTCCATAGGCCAATATGATCATTAGCCCTAACAGTCCTGAATCCTCCAATTTAAATATGATTTTGCATACACCCTAGGGAGTTAGGGTTAGACATATGTACATAATTGAAAGGGGTTATTGTAAATGGGTTCTGAATAACTTCAGGTGTTTTATGGCTGGCACAAGAATCTTCCTCCCATTCTTTGGCGTTTACATCTGGGAGAGGAGGGAGTCAGATTTGAGGCTCATTTTGTCATGCCATTCCTCATAATGTTAAATGCTCTTCAGTAGCTGAGGAATGTGACTAAACCTTGCAAGAAAAATGTTGACCGTAGAAGAATTGTGAGTTGTGGAAAGATGTACATGTATATGTATGGTGTATGATAACTTGCTTTGAACAGCCCATGGTCATGGAATACCAATTACAGA